TGCTTCCAAAGAACAGCATTCAGAATGTTTAAGGGGTTTTTGCTATATTCAAAAGTTTTAATTTTCCTTACATTTTTGTACATGTTTTAGAAAGTCCTAAGAAGTAATTAAATTTTGGTTTGCAACATGTTTCTTGTACAGAAATTTAAATTATAAGTATGTTGATGTCTTGGGAACTAATAAAACTTGAAAGAGTATAACTTAGCCACATTGAAATTAACCTCAAGGAAGCAGAATTGTTCCATTTCTGAACCCTGTCCATTTTACTGCACAGTAAGCACTCATGCTTGGTTGGTAGGAAAAAAAAATCCCATTCTAAGCTCTACTTTTTTTCCATTTTCACTGGGGATAGTCACATATTTTACCTGCAGACTTTGAGAAGGAAAAGAAAACTAGACTTTCCTTCTGCTTACTGGTGTCAATAAGAAGCTGGAAGCCAATCAAAGATGGACTCCACCTAAGATAGTGAGTCTGGGTTATTTCTAGTGAGTTTAAACTAGCTTGGTGATGACAGCTTTGTGTGTTCCTCTTTCTCAAGATCATAATCAGTTTGTCAAGCAAGGCTGAGTTTGGAAGAGAATTCTAAAAAAAATGACCTTAGCCATGAATACCAAGACTGGCATCTTCATGTAATTCTCTTAATATGTGTGCTCGAGTATGTGTGTATTTTAACCAAAGGCAAAGGGCAGGAAAGAAAAAGAGGTGGTAGCCAGGCATAGTTGCATGCCTGTAATCTTAGCACTTGGGAGGCTGAGGCGGGAGGATGGCCCCAAGTTCGAGGCCAGCCTTGGCTACACAGTGAGTTCAAAACAGACTGAATGAACTACATGGTGAGACCTTATCTCAAAAAAAAAAAAAAAAAGAAGGAATGGGAGGGGAAGAGACAAGGCTGGGGACTGCCTGAAGAATGTATGAACTTATCTGTCTGCTGCACAGAGCTCCCACCTTTGGTTTATATTGCTTTCCTACAGGCCTTCCCAAGTCCTGCAACACATTTCTGTGCACTGACTTGCAATTCACTGTCTGGACACTGACCTAGACAAACCAGTATTTCATAGGACAGAGAAGAAACCAGATCGTGCCCAAAGCAGAAAAGAATTGCAAATGAAGATCACTAACACCTGCAATCTTACTCAGCAGCCCCTTCACACCAGTAGTTCCCATTCTGAACACACCCTTGTTCGGCTTCCCCCAACAGGATTTTACTTTAACAAAGAGGAGAGAGTACACAGCAATGAAAACCCTGCCCCAGCAGTGAGTCCTCCCCAGAGATAACAACACTCTTCAATGCAAAGCACTGACACTTTCCCAGAAGAGCTGCTACTACTTCATTCTCACAATAACCCAGACAATTCTGCTCTTGGTTTTTGTATCATCTTAAGGAACTGACTTCCTACAGAATTAGCTTTAAACTATTATGATACATAATGACAGGACTACCCTAGAACAGATCTGGAATCCCTACAGGGTCTCTGACCACTCCCTTCCAAGAGCAACTCAAAAATCTTCCCCAGGATGCTAATGGTTGGCTCACCCTTAAAATCAAAGATACTACCTTTCTGACTCTGAACAAGTAAATTTGCTCAAAATACGTATTACTTTAAAATATGCAAAGACCATGCATTTCTGAACACAGAATTCTTTGCTGGGCATAGTGTAATCCTAGCACTCTAGGAGGTTGAGGCAGGAGGATCAGAAGTTTGGGTCCAGCCTTAGTGAGACCATTTCAAAACAAAAAATTTAAAAAGGGCTGGAGATGTAGCTCTGTGCATAGGCCACCTGGGTACAATTTTGAATATCACAAAACAAAGAATTATTTGGTACAGTTGCTTGCCTAGCATACACAAGGTACAAGTGGTGAAAGTACTATGTTCTGATCAACAATGATATTACCTATATGCAGTTGAGTGGTGCTAATTTGGTGCTGCTATGGTTTAGATCTACAATATCCCGCAAAAGTCTCCTGTTTGGAGGTGGGGCCTGGGTGGAAGGGGCAGGCCATGTGGGTGTGCCTGGATGGGCGTATCCTTATTCCTTGCTTCTCCCTTTGGTGTCTGCTTCCTGGCCTTGTGGTGTGAACAACTTTCCTCTGCATCAGGCCTTCCGTCATGCCATTTCTGCATTTGAACCTGCTAACCATGGACTGAAACTTTTAAACTGTGGGTCAAAATAAACTCCTCCTCCTTTAAGTTGTCTTATTCTGCCTTAAAGTATTTTGTCCCTGCAAAAGGAAAGTGATTAATATAGGTACTCTGACAAGCCATGCTGGCTCTCAGTAAGCATCTCCCTTGGTAACACAGATATCTGCAGCTATATATTCTCGTGTCCCTAAATATTCCAAAGGGATTCTGATTAGAGGGTTATAGTTCTTAGGGTTAGAGTTAGTACTACAGGGAGGGACAAACTGGCTGTCTAGAGGATATGGGCAGGTAATGTAAAAGCAAAAGCAAGATAAAATTGGGCATTCAGAGAAATGTTAAGAGGAATAGAAAAGGAAGCATAGAAAGCTGCTATGTGAATATAAATGCCTACAGAATGAGGTGATATGCTCTCGAATTAATAATCCAATTCAAAAGTGTCTGATTCAATACAATTGGCAAGACAACTGTGGGAGAAGAGGGCGCACTCTAAGACATCAGAGCTGACTACAGATAGCTGTGCAGATAGGCGTGGATGGATAGGCACCTGCCCTTCAGAATGGACACTATTCTGTGAGCCAGACTCGTGTGCTCCTACTGAATGCCATCTCTGCTCTAAGATACCACCCACAGATTCAGAGGGGGAAAAAATTTGTATTTTTATATCAAAGATCCAGGCTTTCAGTACACAGGCAGTTACAATTCTAGTTTTTCATATTTGTTTCTGTTTGTTTGCCAATTTTCACTTTGTTTTTTTTGGTACTGGGGATTGAAATTTGGGGCCTTGTGCTTGCGAGGCAGGCAGTAGAACCACTGAGCTAAATCCCCGGCCCCCAATTTTCACTTTGAAATGTCTAGGTACGTTACATGTGAGTACAGAGGTAGATGTGGTAATCATGTAAAAGCTAAGGGCTAAATAGGAAGGAAAAATCCTTAAAATATTTAATAGAAACTAATATGAACAACTAGAATGGTTACTGCCTTGGTGGTAGCCTACGTACTGAAAGCCTTGGACTTAAAGGCAAATAACTGAACACATATTATGGGGATCAGACCACAAAATCATTTGTCAGCAATGGGTATTTAGTTTTCAAACTGTCTATCAGGTTCAGAGGAGTATATAAATTTTGAGTATTCACTTTCAGGAAATAGAACAGAGACAAGGCTGTGAGTGTGAATTCTTAATTTATAAAAATGAACAATTTGAGTTTTGTGTTTTTTTCTGTTTTTTAGACAAGGTTTCACTATATCGTCCAGGCTGGGCTTGAACTCATTATGTAGATCAGCTTGGCTTTAAATTTGTGATCTTCCTGCCTCAGCCTCACAAGTGCTGGGATTACAGGTAGGTATCACCATGCCCGGCTCAAACAATTTGCTTCTCATTTATGAAAAGGACTAAATTTTAATTGGATTCTCCAATTTTTGATGTGGAAACTGAGTTGTACAATAAAAGTACTGTATTATTTTAAGATTACCTAATTTACAATAAGGGACCCCCTGTGGCTTATTATATTGGGTGAATAAAGTACTCAAACTTCAAAGAAATTAAATGAAAGAAAAACAATTACAAGTTTTTCACAACCACCAGTATGGAGATGCCAGTGAGTCGGGGCTTTCCCTAGCGCTACCTAGGACTGTACCAAAAGGAAGCAGTTATTTTACAGATTATAAGAACAAGGGAGGGGCTGGGTGGAGCTCAGGAAGAGTGTGAAGCCCTGGGTTCCATCCTCAGCAACGGGGGTGGGGCAGGGGGCCACACATAAATGAAGAATTGTAGTGAAATGTGACAACAGTGGTCTAAGGCTCCCCTAGATGCAAAAGAAGAGCATTCTTGACCTATTAGATGTTGACATTTGACTTAAAGACAGTAAAAAGTGAACTTATCAACTCTTTGCATTACATAAATCTTGTATCTATAAGCATCAGCCTGGCAATGTACATAGGAATGAAGGTGAACCCATGTTTCTCAGGATGGCAGATTTGTAGCAGAGTTAAGCAGAGGACCGAGAAGGCCTCTGGCCAAGTTCAGATATCTATATGTCTGAGCACGCTACTTTATTTCTGTAGTTTTCAGTTAATTTGTTTTGAGTACATTTAGGGGCTTATTAATTGATGTATGTGCAACTACTTGTGCTAAAATTCTTCAAATTCAATACCTATAGTCCCATACACAGCCTTCACTTTACCTATTATTGCCAGTGATAAAGAAGCAGGGGAGAAATTTTTTGGAGTGTTTTTGTCACTTTTCATTTGGATTGATGCTGCCTTAGATGTTAAGTAAAAAATCCAAAAAGCTTTCAAGGTGAGACTTTGTGCATTATTCTGGCTTTTAGCCACTGGATAAGACTGGGAAAGAAGGCCACCTGGGGACTCCAGAGTTCTAAACTAGGAAGCAAGATTTTTGATCTGATGAAAACCACATAAAGTCAGTGATGTGCTACAATAAATCCTGGTAATAAATTACTGTTTACTATACAAGCAAAGATTTTTGTATTTCCTCATGAAAAATTCCCTGTTCAAGAAAAATCAAGGACATAACAGTAACAATACTTTACAAAGTGATGACGACTGACTGGGATCTTTCCAACCTTCTCACAGTGCATTTAATGAAGTACTCCTGAATCTGGTCACTTTGTGCTGTGGCATTAGGAGCAGGACAAGAAAAGGCTAGTGGGAATAGACATCTTGTACAAATGCAGCCTAGGCCTATAATATTTGCTGTTAAAAGATAATTTTAATAATTTTTATGCAAATAGAACCAGTATATTAAGCAAGAGGTAGATGATGGTGACCTAGCTTTATTAATTTTAGGAATAAGGTACTTTATGACAAAAGTTTTAGACACAAGGCTGCTTCACATACCACTTCTGTTGATGTTTCTGCATGTTCAGAAGTAACATGTTCTTGAAGAGATGTCTCCGTATAGCCCATTTTTCCACAATAGGGACAAGTAAAAGACTGTGGCTGCTCTACAGAGAAAGCCTCCCCACCGTAGTACAAATCTGAAAAATAAAATGGAATTGCATTGAGGAATAATTATCAGTTTTTTAATATATAAAAGTTTCATATGGTACAATAATGTAAAGCAAAAGTATGCCTGATAAACTTGCCAATAACCTTACTCTGTCAAGGAGTGCCTGATACCTCTCCTTTTACATTTATAATATCCTTATTTCCACAGGGCCCTGTGGCACTCTTCTAAAATTCCCTTCCCAGACAGCTACTATAGCATTAGGTGAGAACAGGTTTCCTCCCCACCCCATTGTTTCAAGTGTTCAGCAAAGGCCCATGTTTTTGGTTTTTTTTTTTTTTTTTTTGGTACTGGAGATCGAACTCAGGTCCTTGAGCTTGCACAGCAGGCGGCGAAACCACTGAGCTAAATCCCTGGCCCAAGGCCCATGTTTTAAAAGGATGAATCACCATACTGTGGTTCTGCTGAAAGTGGTGGAACCTTGAAGAGGTGGGGTCTAGTTTGAAGAAGACAGGTCCCTGGGGCATGCCCTGGAAGTGGATATTGGGACCCTGACTTCTTTTTCCCCCTGCTTCCCACTGCCAAGAGGTGGAATGGCCTGCTCTACTACATGTCGCCACCACAGCAGACTGTGCTGCCAAGGGCCCAAAGTAACAGGGCCAAGTGACCATGGATTGAAACCTGTGAAACTGTAAGCCAAAATAAACCTTGCCTTTTTCTTTTTGTGATACTGGGTATTGAACCCATACAAGGAGAGCACTCTACCCACTAGGGGTCATACCCTCAGTCTTTTTATTAAAACTCTGAGACATAGTCTCAATTGTCCAAGCTGGCCTCAAACATTCCATCCTTCTGGTTCAGCCTCAGCCTCTCAAGTAGCTGAGATTACAGGCATTTGTCAACACACTTGGCTCTTTGCCGCTTTTTAAACTCATTATCTCAGGTATTTTGTCACAGGGACAGAAAGTCGACTAACACACTCCCTGTTAATTTTGAAACTATTCACTCCAAATCTGTATCTAATTTTTTCCTTATCTCTCTATATACTGTGGCAACACTGATATCAACAGAAAGAATCAGTAGACTGTTCTATATACAGGGACACAAGTGCTCAAAGGAAAAGGAAAGATGTATGTGATCAATGTGCCAACTCCCAGATCATACAAAGGATGATCAAAAATGGAGTGAATAAGCCAGGGATTTAGTTCAGTGGTTCTGCTGTCTGCCTCGAAAGCACAAGGTCCCAAGTTTGATCTCTGGTACCCCCCAAAAATAGTGAATGCTTAAATGAAAAAATATTTGTCAGAGTAAAAGGCACATTGCCATTACTCCCCTTAAGTTACTCCCCCCATGTTGACATTCACGCCATTGTTCTTGTCTTTTACAATAATGTTTGAAAAAGAACACGTTTCAACATTCACTGTATTTTTCGATCACACCCTATTTGTCCACTGAACACACTACACTTAGATCAGGAAAGACACTCAGAATTCAGTTCTTGGGGATGCAAACTTGAAGAGAGCCCCTCCAAGGGCACTTTACCCAAGTGGGTTACTAAAGAACTAACCAGTCTGTGGGAATAATCTGTTCACCTCACTAGTATACCTCAGGGAATGTCTATTTTTTTTTCTTTTGTGGTAACACAAAAGAAAAGCCAAAATATATTCAGTATGTTACACTATTTCACTACAAGAACTAATTCTTTAACATTAAACAAATGCCAAATTTAAGAGCATAATACTTCTTTTGTAAGAAAAGAAAGTGCCCATTAAATGATAATTTGTTTATACTCTTTCTTGAGAGATTTAAACTATCTTAAAAGGAGTTACACATTAGGTATATTTTGATCAGTTATTACATGCTTTTTTTTTTTGGCGGTACTGGGGATCGAACTCAGGATCTTGCGCTTGTGAGGCACCACTGAGCTAAATCCCCAGCAATCAGTTATTATATGTACAAGACTTGCCAGGTGGATAGGGGGTAGTTGAGGATAAATACATTAAAAAAAAAAAAAAAGAACAGTATTTCCATAGACAATGAAGAGTGTATACCAAAAACCCATAATCATTATTCCTCCCGTAAAAGACTGAATGCTTTTCTGCTAAGATCAAGTAGAACAGAGTATTTACCCTTGGCCATTTTCTTCAGAAATCTAACCAGAATAAGGCACTGGGGATATAGCTCAGTGGCACTGCGCCTGCCTCACAAGCGCAAGGTCATGAGTTTGATTTCCGGTATTGAAAAACAATAAATGAAAGGCATCCAGATGGAAAGGAAGAATTAAAATGAGTTCTACATATTTGTAGGCAACATGGCCATATTATATCAAAAATCCTAAGAAATCTAACAAAAATCTATGCCAGGTAATAATTTCAGCATCCCTGCAAAATACAAGATCTATATACAAAACTCCACTGGGTATGGTGGCACATCCCTGTAATTCCAGCACTCAGGAGGCTGATGCAGAAAGATTGTTGAGTTCGAGGCCAGCCTGGACTACACAATGAGAACCTGTCTCAAAAAACTGAAAAAAAAAAAATTATATTTCTATACACTTACAGTAAGTCTAAAAACATTACAACTTTGTTTATAATAGCAGAAAGAATAAAATATTAGGGATACATTTAATAAAAGAGGTATACAACTTATACTCTGATAACTATAAATCTTTGTCAAAAGAAATTAAAGACCTAAAAATAAATGGAAAGATATCTATGTTCATGGATCATCAGATTTAATAATAATAATCTTATTATTTGGTGTTTTGAGACAGGGTCTCACTATGTAGCTCAAGCTAGCCTTGAACTCGCTATGTAGCCCAGGCTGGCATCAAACTTGCAATGATCCTCCTGCCTTAGCCTCTTGAGTACTGGGATTACAGGCATGCGCCACCACACCCTGCAGATTTAATATTATTAAAATGGCAATAACCTCCAAGCCCTCTATCAATTTCATATACAGAAATTAATTCTAACTGGATGAAAGATCTAAATGCAAGAACTAAAACTATAAAGCTCTTGGAAGACATAGGTTTAAATCTTTGTGGCCTTAGATTTGGCAGTGGTTTTCTAGATATGACATCAAAAGCACTCAACAAATGAAAAAAAAACACAACTAGAAATTAACAAAATGAAAACTTTTGCCAGGTGTGGTGGTGCATGCCTGTGATCTCAGCACTTGGGAGGTGGAGGCAGGAGGATCACCGCAAGTTCAAGGACAGCCTGAATTACAAAGCAAAACCCTGTCAACAAAACAAACAAACAAAAAACTTTTGTGCTTCAAAATCCAGGAAGTGAAAATACAACAGAATGGAAGGAAATGTTTCCAAATCATTCACCTGTTAAGGAAGATATGTACAGAATATATAAAGAATTATTACAACTCAAAAAAAAAAAGGAACAGTGTATAATTTGTTAAAATGAGCAAAGGATGTGAACATTTTCTCAAAGAAGATATATGAATGGCCAAGGAGTATAACAAAAGAAGCTTATATCATTAACCATCAGAGAAATGCAAATCAAAACCACTTGATACACACTTCATACTCACTATAATAAAAAAGACAAGAAATTATGAACTGAGGGCCGGGGATTTAGCTCAGTGGTTCTGCCGCCTGCCTTGCACGCAACAAGGACCTGAGTTCAATCCCTGGTACCAAAAAAAAAAAGAAAAGAAAAAAAATAAGAAAAGAAATTATGAACTGAAACATTATGGCTTTTGTAATAGATGGACAATGTCCTGACAAACTGCAAAAGTGACATGCCTTCTGATGACTGGCACAAGAATGGGTACCTGTACGCTGTTGGCAAGAACAGTTTGACTTTATTCCGTCCTTATTATCTCACACCTTGTCAGTTGGGTATATTTTGTAATGTCTCTCATAAAAAGTAAATGATGACTGATAGAATACTTAGAATGTAAAAAGTATGGTTCATCGAGGATGGTTTTAGAACACTTTTCCTTCACAGATATACACACGAAACTGTAAACGATCATCATTAACACTGTCGTTAAGTACTTACCAAAATCTACCCTTGTTAATATGCACTGCATTGGGTGGTCAGTTGTATGCCTTGTTGTTGTTGCACCACTTTCATAACAAGATGCACAAAGATCGTAGTCGTAGCAAATTAAACACTTATATCTGCGACCTCGAAAATTTCCTTTTAAACATGCATCACAGCTGACACCTATAAAAAAAAGAAATTTCTTTAATTAGCAGCTGTAAAAGGCCATTCTTCATTTCACTTGTATAAAGGGCTTCATTTAATCCTGTACATCTTTTCCAAAATGACTAGAAACGACAAGTGATGCAGTAAAGGATTTCCACTACTGTGGTGGATTTGATGCTCAGTAGGGTGGTTTTATACTTACAATGAAAATAATTTGAAATGTTTGATGGAATGTAAAAGTCCCTTGTGAAATGCACTGATAGGTTAGAAAGAGAGTAAAAACTAAGGGAAAGAGGAACTAGTAACTGAAAGTACAAAGTGGGGCTTTTAGGCCAAGGGCACTTGGTAAACCAGGTAAAAATCTTGAGTTTAGATTTCCACAGTGCTGCAGGGCAAGGTACAGAAAGCAAAGACCAAAGCCTGTGGAAGTAAGAGTTTCCTCAGAAAGCCGAGCCCTGAAGATCCCCTCAGTGTACAGGTATATGGCAAACTTGACATCCTATCCTGCCTAGGGAGCCCAGACACTGTCCTAGTGAAGCTCTCCCACCCCTCCTGCAGGTGAAGGGGAGAGTGGAGGAAAAACAAAACAGAACAAAACAAAACACCCAAAAGGTCAGAACCACAAGCAGTCTTTGTATAGGCTGATAGCCCCAATTCTACCAAATGGTTCTCAAAAAACTGGGTAAAGGATTTACAGTGGTCTTATAAAAGTCTTACCATCAGGCATCTCACAGGAATAAACATGCAACGAATAAGTACACTTTAAATCACGAATCAAACAAACAAAAAAAACAAAGCACCACAAGAAAGAATCAGCAGAAGGAGGAGAATCTGATTTCAGCATTCATTATCAGAACTGTATACCAACTACAATCCCAGCATTCGGGAGGCCAAGGCAGGAGGATTACATTCAAGGACAACCTGCGTTACACACCAAGACCTTGTCTCCAAACAAAAAATAAAACGAAACAAAAAGCAGCTTGAAGAACTTCAAGTGTTAAAGAACATCTTAAACTCAATGGGCTGGTTTAATAGTAGGAAAAGCCTTTTTTTAGTATATGTGCTGCCAAAGTGGGCACAAAAAAGGCCTTTTAATCCCATGTGATATGGTTATTTATGTAGAAAACCCACAGAGTGATAAGTATGACATATGTGACAGACAAAAGGTTGGTATTCAGGAGTAGGATGTGGTGGTGCACACTTGTAATTCCAGTGCTCCGAAGGCTGAGGCAGGAGGACTGCCTTGAGTTTGAGGCTATCCAGGGCTACACAGTGAGTTCAAGGTCAGCCTGAAATAGATAGCAAGACCCTATCTCAAACAAAACAAAACAAAACAAACTAAAAAGTTTGGTATTCAGAATACTTTCGGAACTCTGGTATAGTCATAAGAAAATGACCAACATCCAATAAGTAAACTGTCAACAGACACTACACAGAACAAACACAAATGGCCAACAAATATATGGAAAGATGCTCATTCTCTTTAGTCATTGAAGAGGTGCAAATAAAACCACCATGAGCTTTCATCTTACATCTGGCAAAACACTGAAAGTCAGGTGATGTCCAGCGTTAGTGACAACGAAGAGTCACAGAAATAACTCAGACCCTACTGGCGAGGGTGCACTCATCAGAGCTACTCTGAAAAAGTTAAACAACTCCTATGCTATTTCAACTGGACTCTCTGCAGCTCCCTTTGCACAAATACAATGTGCTCAGGTGCTGGATACAACAGCGGACAGCAATATAGAAACAAAGTGCCAGGGCGTGTGAGAAGGTAGGTGCCATGTGGAGAATTAAGCAGAGGGATAAGTAGTGTAAAGAAAATTTTACTTAAAAAGATGATATTTGAGCAGAAAGATGAAATATTTCAAAGTTAACTTATTCAAAATAGCATCCAAGTATGACGATGCTTTAAGCGCAACACTAAAAACATTAAACAAGTCTAAATTATCTGTTTAATGACTGGGTACAAGAACCTGTCAGCTTAGGTCCCAGGAAGGTAAAACTGGCTCTGAGCACTGACATCTTGGTTGTGGCCCATCTGGGATTCTTCTTGTGGTGGGGGTGCCTCTTGACAGATAATGAGCAAGGCTAAGGTGATGTGCATGGTGATGCTGCCAAACACTGTGTGGCATTAGTAAAAAGACACTGATGATGCACAGCTCCTATGCACGCTTTGGAATTATCTAAATCATCCACTTAAGGGACAGGGTAGGGTCTCAGGCTTCACCTACAACCCAGCTGGGGTCCAGTAACTATTAATCCATTAACAAAGAGACTTTTTTTCTTTCTTTCTTTTTTTTTGTTTTTTTAGACAGGGTCTCACTATATAGTACAGGGTGGCCTTGAACTCATGTAGCCCAGGCTGGCCTTCAACTCACAGTGATCCTCCTGCCTTAGCCTTCCTTGTACTAGGTTTATAGGTGTGTGCCACCATGTCTGGCTCTTTCTTCTTCTTCTTCCAGTGCTGGGAATTGAACCTAGGGATTCACACTTGGTAGACAGAGCTTTACCACTGAGCCACATCCCACTCTACTAAGTGGCTTTTGAGCTGGGAGTATAGCTCAGTGGTAAGCTCATGCTTACTACGTGTGAGCACCTGGGTTCCATCTCTAGCACTGCTCCTCCCCACCAAAGTTTAGGTTTCACTTACCCAATACAATATATATCCTGCAAAAACAGAGTTAACCAAGCATTTACTAGTTTATAAAACAGTAACTAGCAAAAGTCACATCATAAGGTGATGGTGGCATATTTGTGGTCCTTTACCCAATTATGCTTACAGAGATAGATGGCAATGCTAGAGAATGCAGTTTAACCCCAGTTTTGACAACAAGAACCCAAATGAAAAGAATAGTGTATAGCTGATGACTCTATCTGAAAAAGCCACATCTAAAAACATTCATATCCCCAGCATTTACCTTGCACCATGCACTTCTGGGGAAAAAAAAAAATAAAAGCTATGAAGAAAATTCAGAGTGAGAGAATGCTTTTTAGTGGGAATAGGCATTTTTAAAGCCACTGAAATGCTATGTATGTCTTCTCTTTCTTATTTTTATTTTTTGATATTTTGAGGCAGGATCTTGCTATGTAGCCCAGGCTGACCTTGAACTCACTATGTAGTTCAGGCTGGTCTCAAACTCATGATGGTCCTCCTGCCTCAGCCTCTCAAGTGCTGGGATTACAGGTGTGCACCACCATGCCTTGCTTCATTTACTTATTTGTTTAATTTTTTATTAGTACATGTTTGCAGCACATAATGTTTACAATCCTTGTGTGGAGTTGGTGCATGTACATAATACATATTCAATCCTTTATCCCCTTTCCCTCAGCCCTCGATTTCCCTCCTATTTGAGAAAGATCTAACTCCCTACTTGCTATTATCTATCTTTTACTTTCCTCTTTATTTATGATTTGTGTTTCTCATAGGAGAAATCATGTGATATTTAAGCCGGGGTGTGTGATTTATTTCACTTAGCATTATGGTCTTCAGGTGCATTCATTTTCCAACAAATGACTCAACTTTATCTTTCTTCATGGCTAAGCAGTATTCCATTGTTTTTATATGGATTTGTTTACAGCATTTAAAAAGGGGAAACCCCATTGTAATGTCAGACTGTTATCAGGGCTCAGGCACCCCACCAACAAGTAAGACTTTCTAAAAAGGGTATGTATCATATGTGTTATATGATAATCTTAGTAATGAGAACTGCACAGAGAACTGTACAGTGGCACCTCAGTTCACAAATGCTTTTGTTTGCAGACAATTTGGTTAGCAAACAGAAGTATTTAGCAAAATTTCATTTTTGTTTGCAAGCGCTGCATTGGGTGATAAACATGACCGTGGCCATCTTTTCCAGAATTGTGGAATGAATTAAGTTCATGAACCGATGTACCACTTTACTACTAAAATAACTTTATAGTAACAAAGGCAGTTCCCAAGAAGTGGCTCTTTGCAGTTAGGCAGTAAGTCATGCAACCCCCTGATGAGAACCTCAGATGAACATGAAACCAATTTTAAAAATGAATAATAGTAACTTAGTGAAAAGCTGAAGTAGCCAAAATTATTTTGCTTAAGGAAAATGGTCAAAGGGTATTTTCCGAAGTGAAATTACTAGTAGAATCTAAGACAAATTTTATAATGTTTCATAAGCTGGGAGTATAAGTCAGGAGTGGAAAACTTCCCTCCTTCTATTTAAAAATCACAGGGGCCAGATATGGTGGCACATGCCTGTAATCCTAGCACTCAGGAGGCTAAGGAAAGAGGATCATGAGTTCAAGGCCAGGTAATGAAATCTGTCTTAAAAAAAAAAAAAAAGAAAGATGGACAGACAGACAATCAAGCCATGCAAAAAACAAGTAATTTTAGGGGCTTGTTTTTTTATAAAGTATTTATTTTTAAGCTGGATGTAGTGGTGCACACTTGCAATCCCAGCACTCAGAAGGCTAAAAGCAGGAAGATCCCCAAGAGTTTGAGGCCAGCCTGGTAGTGAGTTCAAGACCAGCCTGAACCACATAGTGAGACCCTGTCTCAAAAAAAGTAATTAATTTTAGAATTAGGAACAGAGCAAAAAAAAAAAAAAAATCTACTCAATATGCACATAACTATTTAATTTTTAAAATCTATGCCATGTTTTGAAGGGAGAGACTTGAGAGAAAATGCCATGTCTATACACACACACACACACACACACACACACACACACACACACAGAGGAAAAGACCTGTCGCCAGACATCATAGTGCACATAAGCAATCTCAGCACACGGAAGCTGAGACATAAGGATCTCAAGTTTGAGCCCAGCCTGTGCAACTCAGCAAGACCTTGTCTCAAAATAAAATTTAAAGGGCGAGGGATGTAGCTCAGCACTCCTTGAGTTTGATCACAGTATCATGGGGGAGGAAGCTCCATACATGGCTAAAAAGATTCCAGGAGCAGAGAAAGGGAAATGCTAAGCATGTGTGCCTGTGCCTGTGTGCCTGTGCCTGTGCGTGTGCGTGTGCGTGTGCGTGTGTGT